CGCTAGATAACTAGTGTTGCCCACACTGTTAGAAGTGACCGTAGAGAAAACAGCGGAACACTTACCCCTCTTGGCTGGACAGGTACGTACCACATGGCCTGCTCCCCCACAGTAGAGGCAGAGATGGTTGTAAAGACGCCTCTGGCGTTCCTCAGGTGTAAGTGTCGGCCGTATCCTTCCCGATGGCCCGGTCTTGGGTGTATCCATAGCATCCTGATTCTGGCTTGCCGGCTGCAACTGGGTTGAAGCCTGAGGGGGTGTTCCAGTTGGTCCTTGTCCTTGGTTGCACCTTTCCTGCCTGCGCTCCCGCAACCGGTGGTCAATTCGAATAGTCAAAGCTATTAAGGCCTCCAAAGTGCTAGGTATGTCTATTCGGGCCAATTCGTCCTTCAGGGATTCAGCTAACCCTACGCGGAACTGGTGGTGCAGAGCCGCCTCGTTCCATTGGCTGTCACTATGCCAACGCCTGAATTCGGCGGCATAGTCCTCCACTGTCTGGTGACCCTGCCTGAGTGTATATAGGGCCCTCTCGGCCGTTGCGGTGCGCAGCGGGTCGTCATACAAGAGGGCCATAGCCTCAAAAAATACTGTCACTGACTTCAACAGTGGGTCTCGATTCTCTAGGAGCCGGTGGGCCCAGTCTTGGGGTCCCCCCTGTAGTAGGGAAATGATGAACCCTACCCTCACCGATTTGGAGAAAAAGGTCCGAGGCTGGAGGTTGAAGTATAGCTGACAGGAGCTACGAAAGGCCCTGAATTTACTTCGGTCTCCAGAAAAACGTTCTGGTGTGGGGACACGGGGTTCTGGCGCGGGTAACAACCCCGGTGTCTCCCTAGTGGGTTCCCCAGACCCCCTGGTAGATGTAGCTAAGGTCTGCATGCAACTGTCCAATTCCGTATAACCCTCCTGTAGGCCCCTAACTCCTTGTGTAAGGGTCTCCATCTGTTGACAGATGTCATCCAGAGGGGAAGTTCCCCTTCCAGGCTCAGTCATGGCCGCAAGGTACTGTCAGGCTCCGCCCAATGGGATCTCTAGTGGTCCACGGCACGGGGTTTCCCAGGACGCGGAGTCTAAGTCCCAGCCTGCCTTTTCACACCAGGGCCCCTGATGGTGGGGATGGACTTGGTGCAAGACTGAAACCAGGTCGCGTTCCTGGGCACCCCCGGCGGTGGCAGAAGGGTCCCGCTGAGGGTATGTGCCCAGGTTGAGCCTGCTGTGAAGGGGATGACAGATCCCGATCTGAGCGGGATGGATGGGATGACAGATCCCGATCCGAGCGGGGGTGGATGGGATGACAGATCCCGATCCGAGCGGGATGGATGGGCGACTGTCAGGAGTAAGAGAGGTCAGACTAGCCGGGTCGGTATCGTGCGGGCAGCGTGGTACAGGGGGAGTAAGCGGAGAATGGTCGGGGGTCACAAGCCAGGTTCAGCAGGTAGCGGGCAGCGTGGTACTGAGGGTCAGGCAGAGGGATGGTCAGGAACGAGCCGGGGTCAGAGCAGGAGAAGGTCAGCATAAGTCAGAACAGGCAGAGTTTGGCAACAAGGAAACGTACTTACAGGACAGGAACAAGACCTTGCGGCAACTTGGATATGCACAGGGCCGTTTAAATAGAGCGCCCTGTTCTTCCATTGGTGCGGCCGCGATCGCTAGTGCGCATGCGCGGCCGCCGCGATCGGCGAGGATCCAGCGCTCTGCGCATGCGCGCACCGCCGCGAGCCCGAGATCCCTGACAGGAGATCCAGAAAGGGTACTGAACAGCTGATGGTGCAACAGAGCCTAGCTTACTCAAGCTTGCTGGGTCAGGGAACATCAGTGATCAGCATATTGCAGATCAGCAGCTCTTACCACTCCCAGCGAGGCACGGCACAGCACAGCACCTTTTCCTCTCAGTCACTGGTTGGTGTTCTCCACAACTGCCCAGCTCTTTCAAGGGCTTTTCTATTCTTAAAACGTCTCCTGATCCCAGGCATCACTGGATACTGTAGTCAATGATTCTAATCCCCCTCCAAACTACATCTCCCAGAATGCCGCAGCCCAAAGACAATCACAAGCTAAAAAGCACACCTGCTGCTGCTCATCTCGTGGATGAAAGGGAGTCCTGCAGCGCCAGTAACATTACTTTCTGTACATCCCCATACATTTAACACATCCCCTTTTAGTCGCACTGTCATTTTGCAATTGAGGGAGGAGTCGGGAAATATTTCCCCAGTTTAGTTGGTACCAGTTACCATTTAGAGAAAATGTTTTGCTTCCACCAGGGACTGTTTTAAGACATTCTAGCTTTCCACTTGGACCCGTCCTCTTGTTCCACAATGGTATTAAACTCCTGCTCTGATGCTAAAAGCTTGTGATAGCCTATTGGAAGAATTAACTTTCTGGGTATAAGATGCAAAAATGGTTCCCCCAGAGCCCAGGTAACACACTAGTTTTCAAAAGCTGTCATAGCACATAGACCTGTGGCCTTTCAATAAACCATTTACTGTAGATAGTGTGAGATTTGTTACCAGTGAAACAATTCTGCCTGAGCCATGTCTAATTTCTCTCTCCTCTCTCCTCAACCCCTTAATAAAATGATGTACCCTATGCAGGCACTTGTTTAACCACCACACAGAGGTACGTTGTTTCGTCAAGACCCTTGTTCCAGCAGGGCAGCGTCTGTGCCCAGGGCAGCCACCCCTTCTTCCTACCCCTTGTAACGGCCCCTGTCTGCTGTTGCTTGCTATGGGGGCACTTGAGTGGGCCTGCTCCCAAGCTACAGTTGCAAGAAAAAGTATGTGAACCCCTTGGGATTACGTGGAGTTTTGCATGAATTGGGCATAAAAATGTGCTCTGAACGTCATCTAAGTCACAACAATAGAAGAACACAGTCTGCTGAACATAATACTACACAAACATTAGATGTTGCCATGGTTTAATTGCACATAACATGTAAACATTCACAGTGCAGGGAGGAAAAAAGTATGTGAGTCCCTAGCTTAATGACTTCTCCCAGAGCTAATTAGAGCCAGGAGTGAGCCAACCTTGACTCCAATCAGTGTGATGATATTGGATGTGTTGCTGACAGCTGTCCTGCCCTTAAAAAACACACACCTGTTTTGGGTTTACTGGTTTCAAGAAGCACTGTCTGATGTGAACCATGCCTCGCAGAAAAGAGCTCTCAGAAGACCTACCATCAAGAATTGTTGACTTGCATGAAGCTGGAAAGGGTTACAAAAGTATCTCCAAAAGCCTTGATGTTCATGTGTCCACGGTAAGGCAGACGTCTACAAATGGAGAAAGTTTAGCACTGTTGCTACTCTCCCTAGGCGTGGTCGTCCTGTAAAAATGACTGCAAGAGCACAGCGCAGAATGCTGCATGAGGTAAAGAAGAATCCCAGAGTGTCAGCTAAAGACCTACAGAAATCTCTGGCACATGCTAACATTTTTGTTGACACATGTACAATAAGGAAAACATTAAACAAGAATGGAGTACATGGGAGGACACCACGGAGGAAGCCATTGCTGTCCAAAAAGAAGATTGCAGCACGTTTGAAGTTTGCAAAAGAGCACCTGGATGTTCCACAGCACTACTGGCAAAATATACTGTGGACAGATGAAACCAAGATTGAGTTGTTTGGGAAGAAACACACAACACTATGTGTGGAGAAAAAAAGGCCCAGCACACCAACATCAAAACCTCATCCCCACTGTGAAACATGTTGGAGGGAGCATCATGGTTTGGGGGCTGCTTTGCTGCCTCTCAGGGCCTGGACGGATTGTTGTCATTGATGGGAAAATGAATTCCAGAGTTTATCAAGACATTTGGCAGGAAAACGTACGACCATCTGTCCGCCAACTGAAGCTCCGCAGAGGATGGGTGATGCAACAGGACAATGACCCAAAGCATACAAGTCATTCAACAAAACAATGGCTGCAACAGCACAGAATACGTCTTCTGGAGTGGCCCAGTCAGAGTCCTGACCTCAACCCGATTGAAATGCTGTGGCATGACCTTAAGAGAGCGATTCACACCAGACATCCCAAGAATATTGCTACACTGAAACAGTTTTGTGAAGAGGAGTGGTCCAAAATGACTCCAGATCATTGTGCAGGTCTGATCTGCAACTACAGGAAACGTTTTGGTTGAGGTTATTGCTGCGAAAAGAGGGTCAACCAGTTATTAAGTCCAAAGGTTCACATACTTTTTCCTCCCTGCACTGTGAATGTTTACATGTTATGTGCAATTAAACCATGGCAACATCTAATGTTTGTGTAGTATTATGTTCAGCAGACTGTGTTCTTCTATTGTTGTGACTTAGATGATGTTCAGAGCACATTTTATGCCCAATTCATGCAAAAACTCCACGTAATCCCAAGTGGTTCACATACTTGTTCTTGCAACTGTAGCCTTGTGTGTCAATAGACATCTCATGGCCTGTGATTGACATCAGCGGGAGCCAATGGTAGGTATAAGGAGGGGGCTGGGGGGCTGCATACAGAAAGTTTTTTTTACCTTCATGTATAGAATGCATTAAGTTAAGAAACCTTCACCCTTTAGAACCACTTTCACCATACAATGATCTGCTGGAAGCTCTGTCTGTAACACCACGGGTCCCTATGAAGTGTCTCTGCCAGGTTTTGTGGCTGGAATGTAGCAGAGATATGGAGTCACATGTCTGCCATGCTCCATCACATGTACCGTAGGTGTCCCCTTCTGTCAGGTTTTAATTCTGTCCAAGTCCTAGTTGGGGAAATTTCCCTTTATTTCCTGCCTTTGTGAGAATGATGATTGGGAAATAAAGAGAACATGGACAGCAATGAAAACCCATTTTTTTATACAGTATAGACCAGGGTTCCTCAACCAGGGTTCCATGGAACCACAGGGTTCCTTCTGTCAGGGCTCCGGGGTGTGACCAGAGGTATGTGACTGACGCAGGGAAACGCAGGCTTCAGATAAGTTATAAACAATAAGACAATTTATTAAAGACTAACAATACAAACATAAACGCAGTGCAATACTAAAACATAACACAGTGCAAACGAACCAAACCACCCACAGATAACAGTACATACACTGCAAGCGTCATCAGGCAGGCCGGGTCAATAACAATCGGGCAGGTAGGAACAGGAGGTCAGGCAGAGAATGGTCGGGGTCACAAGCCAGGGATGAAACAGGAGAAGTCAGCAGAGGTCCGGAATCAGGCAGGGTCAGCAACGAATCAGTCAGACAGGGACAGGAACAGGAACAGGGATGCAGGTAGCAAGATACAGGGCCCAGGAAAACCACACACCAAGGCAGAGACTGCAGGTCTGGCCATCCCTTAAATACACCTGCATGATCAATTTCTACAGATAGAAATTGAAAAAAATGCCCATCACCCCGCCTGGGGGGCCCGATGCCCCGCTGCTCCGCCTGGTGATCCGGTGTCCAGCTCGATGTGCCTCTGCCCGGAGTCCAGCTCGATGTGCCTCTGCCCGGAGTCAAGCTCGATGTGCCTCTGCCCGGAGTCCAGCCCGATGTGCCTCTGCCCGGAGTCCTTGTAGATATAGTCATTTTTAGCCGGGGTTCCCTGAGACCGGAAAGTTACTTCAAGAGTTCTTCTATGTTGAAAAGGTTGAGAAAGGCTGGTGTAGACAATCGTGAAATGTTTTAGTGCTTTGCCCCTGTTGGGGAGTTTTCTGAATATTGTGTTCCGATAGGCATTGCTAATGAAATAGGGAATAAAGGTAAATTGGTGAGAACATTTTGAAACAGCTAGAAAGACTGCAGAAAGGATCTACCAATCCTGTACAACGGAGTGCTAAGGGGTTCAATAATTCTGTACCAATAACAGATCCTAATCAGCATGTCCCTCCAACTCATTAAACACCATAGCTCATTCTACTGACCAATTTTTGTTGTGGATTTTCCCTAGAAGAGTGGGTCTTGTGTCCAAACACCCAACAAATCAAATCATATATATGACTCATTCGCCCCTATTGGACATCTCCACCCTGGGATGTAAGATATTTGTACTAGAAAAAATATATATATATTTAGGGAAATATATCTTATAATTGAAAAATTGTAATTCTGAACTACTGAAGGTGTACTGAGTAAGAAATATAAGAATAAACCAACTTTGTTAGATCAGCTACACTGCTGGATATAGATTTCATATTTTCAGATTGATGTTACTATTACCGTTCTTTGTTCTGTAGTGTAAATCGGTCTCAGTCGATGTTTCTATTCTTCCGTTCTTTGTTCTGTAGTGTAAATCGGTCTCAGTCGATGTTTCTATTCTTCCCTTCTTTGTTCTGTAGTGTAAATCGGTCTCAGTCGATGTTTCTATTCTTCCCTTCTTTGTTCTGTAGTGTAAATCGGTCTCAGTCGATGTTTTCTATTCTTCCCTTCTTTGTTCTGTAGTGTAAATCGGTCTCAGTCGATGTGTATAAAGTTCTGGTGATTGTGTCTCCTCCTGGGCAGATCTGCCGGTGACTGAGAGGATCTGCTGTGTGCCATGAGATGTTCTCTGCTCTTCTGTGTCTGTTACCTGCTCATCCTCATCCTTCACATCACATACTATGGCATCGTATTGACCTGGAGATCAGCACCTCGCTGTAAACTTAACATGCACAAGCCATTGTTTGAGTATGAATATTACCAGAAGGGAGACGTGATTATCGGAGGACTGATTTCTGCTCACTTTAGTAGTCACTTTCCGACAGATTTATATGGCAGTATGTCTAATTCATTTTTATGCTTCTCTTATTGTCACATGTAAGTCTCTTTTCATCATCTTTGCTCTGTCTGTATGACTCAACAAAGAGAAAATATAATGGTTTGTCTTCATTTTCACTGTAATATTTTATGAAAATGTACAAATGTTTCTAATGATGTTTTATACGTTTTCCTATTACTTGATTCCAGTCTGTGTTTCACCAAAAAATACATTTAATAACTATGACTTGCATAATACTTTGTCTTCAGGCCGTGCTGGGATTTCTGATAGATAGTCATGTCCAGGGACGGACTGACCATTTGAGCACTCGGGCAGTGCCCGAGGGCCCGGGGTCAGTAGGGGGCCCCATGAAATGCCGCATTACCTTTTTTATAGACTTTTTAGGGTGTGCTTTGACACAGGGGCCCCATGATCCCCTATTGCCTGGGGGTCCCATGAGTTGTCAGTCCACCCCTGGTCATGTCATGTGCCTATTGATGGCTCCTGCAGAATGAAAATCTTGATGTCTCTCTTTCTGCCAGGAGGGAGGGAGGTGTGCTGTCATTTTAATAGCTTATTTGTATAGTCTCCTACTATTCAGGGATGGTCACAGTCAACAGTACAACAAATGGCCGCTGCCCCAGTCCATAACTGGCCTTCACAGCAAGGAGCACATGGAAGGGCGACGCATGTCAAACACCAAAACAGAAAAAATTCCCGGCTCTAACTTGACAGCCAGCCTGCAAACAAACCAAATTAACCTGTCTAGCAGTATGTGTTAAAATCAGGGGTTTAGTTTGCACACATTTGCAAATACATGCGTAAGCTGCAGAACCTCGTCACAGCACCCCGATATTCTGTAGTTCCTAACTCTCCAATTTTAAGAGCCCCCATAGTAGAGGCACATGTATTTAATGGATAGACCAAGGGCAGGTGGACTGGGGTGCCATGGTGAGGCTCTGTAGTTTACTGTTTGTACTGTTGAATTGTTGGGGGAGGGGGTGCACTGGACACCTTGGCTGCCATTGTGCTACATGCTGGGTGTCCAGTGCGCTCCTGTACCTTTAAGGTGGGGTGGGCTCCTTCAGGTTCACCTGTCCTTGGTCTATCCATTAAATACATGTGCCTCTACTATGGGGGCTCTTAAAATTGGAGAGTTAGGAACTACAGAATACTGGGGTGCCATGACGAGGCTCTGTAGCTCTGTAGCTTGCAAATGTGTGCAAATGTGTGCTAACAACCCCTGTTTTAACGCATACTGCTAGACAGGTTAATTCGGTTTGTTTGCAGGCTGGCTGGCAAGTTAGAGCCGGGAATTTGTCCTTTTTGTTGTCTGACATGGTCACAGTCAAGCCTATTCACAACACAGCAGTAAGTCAGTTCAGTGCAGCAACTTAAAAGGTGAAAGTAATATATGAGATAGACTCATTACACGCTATTGAAGCATCCTGGTCTTCCATAACACCTCAGCAGTGCCACAGGCTGACAGCTTTCATGCCACGCCGCATTGAGGCAGTAATTGCTGCAAAAGGGGCCCCAACCAAGTACTGAGTACATATGCAGCTTCTACTTTTCAGAGGTCCGATATTGTCCTATGTACAATCTGTGTTTTATTGATTGCATGGAATATTCTCATTTTCTGAGATTGTGGATTTGGGGTTTTCATGAGCTGTAAGCCATAATCATCACAATGATGACAAATCACGGCTTGAACTATCTTGCTTTTCATGTAATGAGTCTATCGCAAGGGCGGACTGATCATTTGGAAACTCGGGCACTGCCCGAGGGCCCGGGGTCAGTAGGGGGTACCATGAGATGCCCCTTGTATCTTTTTCATAGGCTTTTTTTTGAGTTTGGGCAAGGACACAGGGGCCACACGATCCCCTATTGCCTGGGGGGCCCCATGAGTTGTCAGTCCGCCCCTGGTCTATCACATATATTAATTTCACCTTTTAAGTTGCATTACTGAAATAAATGAACTTTTGCACGATATTCTAATTTTTTGAGTTCACCTGTACGTATAAAGCAATGAATGACATTCAACAAATATTCACTGCAGGTGATTCTCTGCTAAATTTGCTTTAAATGACAGTGATTGATTCACCAGCAGTGAAAGATTGGCAAAGTCACATTTATTCTTTTATAAGTATGGCTTCTTGTTCCTCATGCTCACTATTTGCTTTCACTATGGATGAGCAAATCTAGGTTCAGACTGGTCAGCCCCCTGTTCAGCTGGAGCCAAGCATCATACACAGACGTGGTATTTCTATGGCTTCTATATGGCCGCTTCTCTCTGTTAATGGTCACTAAGGAAGCAGTGGGTGCTGGCTCCTGCCATCTTCCTAGGAACCGTTGGCCCTGTCCTCATCAACATGGTGACAAGATACTTTGCCAGGGTGGTATGGTTCTGGCCCACTCTCTTTTGTATGGTTCAGGAGGGCTCCCACCACCTTTCCTGGCCAACCAGGCTGCATGCTTTGATTAAGGGTCTGAAAATGGATTTTTAGGGGTAACCCCCAATCATTTTTTTTAGGTGTGAGGTCCCCCTAAAAATCCACACCAGACTCAAACACTGTGTAGGGTGCGCTACAAAGCAAAAAAAAAAAAAAAAAGTTTATATTGCAGGTTGATGACGTTCCGATTCTGACTTTTTTTTTAAGACATTTCCAAAGGTCTACAAAATACATAGCATGCCTTTATATGGGTTTTGTGCTTTTTTTTTAAAGAAGCTGAAAATGAAATGTAATTTGCTGGCAATTCTAAAGGATAAGTTCAACTTTTATTAAAAAATAATAAATGCATTTTTTTTGCAGGTAAAAAAAAAATCTCGTTTTCTCCCATCTCTGCACCCTCCACAACCTCACAAACACCCCTTTCCCCCTCTCTGACCACAACCTCATTACGTTCTCCATCTCCCTGTCCCCCAAATGTTAAACCATCACCAGCCGTAACCTCCGCAACCTGAACCCGGCCCCTCTCCACTCTGCAGCTGACCGTCTGTACGACAGTATCCTTCCACTGTCATGCCCTGACCTGGCCACTACTGCGTAAAAACGACTCACTGTCAGCTGCCTTAGACTCCTTAGCACCCCTAACCACACGTAGCATTAGACCCCGATCGCTTCAACCCTGGCAGAACGACCACACAAAAAAATCTTAAACGACGCAGTCGCGCGCTGGAACGATTATGGCGCAAAACCAGATCCTCTCAAGCGTTCTCCCTCTACAAATCCGCCTTCCTCACCTACTCCTCCTCCCTCCACGCCACCAAACAAGCCTACTTTGTAACCCTCATTAACACCCTCTCCACCTGTCCTCGCCGGCTCTTCTCCACTTTCAACTCCCTACTCTCTCCCCCCCACCCAGTACCCTCACTCACCGCCCACGAGATTGCCAATCACTTCCAAAATAAGATCG